AAAGAATTTCAATTTTGTTATCCAATTTTATCTACAAAAGAAGAACAGACAGAAATCGGTATACAAGCCGTCGTTTGACATTTGCTTTGATATTTATAACAAATAAATTAGTGTATAAGAGTGCCAGTCGTTCAGTATAATAAGTGGGGGAATTAAACAGTTTTAGTTGATAAAAGGCACTATAACATCTGGAATTACATTCCTTTAGATTATCTCTGTAAGCATCTAGGGCATGGATTTCGTCCTGTTTCGAACTCATTATCTAGATGTCTCAGTATCTGGTGTGTTGGTGTTCCCACCGAGACTAGAGCACAGGAATCCATGATTCCAAACGCCAAAATGTTATTTATTAGGTTACTGAGTGAGTGCCCATTAAAATCCACTTGCCTAATCATTTGAATGTATTCTTGGATATCAAGTATCGGTTTGCAGGGATTTGTTTGGCTACTGGTCTTATCACGAACTGATATCAGTTACAGAAGCAACTGTTTAGTCCTAGTTCAAGACTTTTCAGGAGTACGCATCCACTGGGGTTCGAACCCAGAACCTTCCGGCTACAAGGTGAGCTGTGAGACCATTCAAACACTAGGAGCCGATTCAATGGCCTGCAAATTCCGACTTCTTTCGGCTCGACCACCAGCGCGGTCCATCAAATCAGGTAAGAGAACAGTTACTTGATGATGAAATTGTCTGATAGTTACAATATGCGTCACGAACTGGCAGAAGTTGGAATTCATAAGCCACTGAACCGGGTCCCAGTGGCTGGATGGTTTATAGGCTCGTCTTGTAAATGGAAGGTCCTGCGTTCAAACTCTATACTTCTGGAGAATCGCAAAGTGGGGCTAAACCACTGTCCAGTACTCCCTAATTTTCCTTAATTGGTTAATCGTTTAACTTGTTTGAAGTTGTCTCTGTCACTGATATGAAGTTTGTTATTTACTAAATTTCCGTATGCTATTACTCTTAAAAGTGAATATTTTCTCAAGGAATAAAGCAACTTTCTGCCTAAATGGTTTGAGGTGGTCATTTTGTTTCAAAATAAGGGTTGTTAGACGCATTATTATTGTATGATGTGGTTCAAGAGATGGCTGAAACGGTTATTTAACTCACATCCTACCAGTTATAATACTAATTAAAACTATATAATTCATAAAATTACTTCCATGTGTCCTTTACACACGTACACCAGTTAAGTTGGTGAACGACCCGATGAGACCAAATAATAATACTTGGTCTATTCTTACTTCAGCGACTTGATAGTAGCCGTAGTCTTCATGCTACAGGTAAATACAACTACGCAAATTGAAGTCTGTTTGTTAAATTCAACATCAGTCTGTCTATTACATGCACAGAACTTGAATCTATACGGAATTCCACCCAAACTTTCGTCAGTCATTGTGGTATAAAAGTGAGAACTCAAGGAGTTCAACCAACAACATAACTGATAAGAATAAGCGGTGAACATTTTGTTGTTATGATCGATTCTAGAGATGATACTTGACGTCATTAGAGATCCCTTTCATTTGAAATTAGGAAAACAAAGAAATTTCTCTGAAGCAAATGAACTTTCCACAATCACCATAAATGTTTGTTTTTACAGTTGTTCTGTAACTGTGAGATAAATGGATTCGTGTCTTTTAGTGTCTAACTTAAATCTCCCATCATCTAGGTCTGAAGAGACTGAATAGAAACACGGATATCTTCATATTTTCTGACAGGCATCTATTTGTTCACTTTAGATATTACTGAATAGTGTAGCCTTTGCAACTTTCAAAATATTTTTACGGATGACTTTTAATGTCATTTCCATTACTTACAAAAGGCTGACTGAAAGAATATTAATCTACCAAAAGGGGAGGCACTTCATTATTGATCAGGATATATTATTATTCCTTTAGGTTGTGAGTAGAAAATGGAACTTCAACACCACATTTTTATTTTGTCATGTTCTTTGCGATCCTATTTGGGCAGCTACATTATTAGCTACAGGCTCTCATCTTCTCCTAACACAATCTCCTCCATTTCACCCTCAGACTCATATTCAACTCTTCGTTCCCAACTGAGGTTCCATTCGAGTTATGGCCTATTGCGCTATATCACCCAGTGGTCTCCTCAATGCGCGTCTCATTAATCTCCCTTTTGCTGTGGAAAATTTTTTGAGAGATAGGTTCTAGTTAGGTTAGTTGCTAATTCTTTCTGGTTCGCTGTCTGATCTTCAGTGTGGAGTCGACAAGTCAGCTGTTCACAAAGGTCTGAAGTGGGCTGTTAGAAATGCTTTTCGTGGCACCAGCGTTAGGTTTTTGACAAATATAGAAACAGTGACTGACTTAAGATTGGTGTTGAAAATTTGAATTTTGTTCTGCATGCTGATTGTTAAAGATTTCGAAACTGATTTCAGGTTATTGGTGTTGACAACCTCATCTGTGCCATATGTCTGTCATTGAAACGATGCTTCCTAGATAAGTGGAGGAAGTGACCTAATTCACATTTGTTCCGTTGATAGTGACTGGTGCTTGTTGTTGTTGTTGTGTGGTTATCTTTATCACACCAGTCTTCTATATGTTCATTTGAAGTCCTGTCTTCACTGTCTGTTTCCTCTGCCAACTTGCTGGTTTCCGTGTGTAAGTTCCGAATTTGTGTGACATTAAACGTAAACCGTCCTCAAAGTGCAGATCCTCTAGAGTCCTCTTATCGGTTCAACATATTCCTATCTTCTCGCTACCCACGCACGGTCTCCGCATAATCCAGTCCACCACAATTAAGAATATAATCGGTGATAATAGGCAGCCAGCCTTGTCTTACTCCTGTCTTCACTTCATACGCTTGTCTGAGTTTCTGTTGTGGATCACCTGACACGTGACACTGTCATATAGCCAGCTGTTGAATGAGTTTGGTAAAGATTTGTGACGTTGCATTCCATAGTGTTGAAGTAGTTTCCAAATCGCGGTCAATGCTATCGAAGGCCTTTTCGAAGTCGATATTGCTGAGGTAGAGATTTGACTGTTATTCTATGCTCTGCTCAATGATGATGCGTCGAGTTGCAATTCGATCCTAACATGACTTGCTTTTCCTGAATCCAACTTGTTCCGTGCTGGCGGAATTCTGCATCCAATGCATCCATTTCTAGCCACTTCTAAGTCATAGAGAAAGGAGGGTTGGGCATGGAACCCTGGGAAATCAGTTCAATCGCTGCAGCAAATTTAAAGCAGATCAGGGATCAGGATAGTGGGATGCTTAACTGTAATATAACTGAATAATGAAAACAGTCAGAATGTCCTTGAAATAATGAGACAAGATATAAAATTGGTTAAACGTTCTTTTTCTATTTTTCCATAGTAAGTTCATATGAAAAGTACATCTGTGTGGATAAGAAATCTACATTAAGTCCATCAGATGCATTCTATCAATGAATCTGTGTTCATATTGCCCTCTTTTTGGTAGTCTTTTACGACAACTTTATTTTCAGAAGAATGACTACTGAACAAAGAATAGTATTTTCGATGATTCCTTCTTCATCAGGTTCTACAGTTATATATACATAATAGTGAATGAATTAGTGTTATTATCAACATTAATGTTGCTTAAATAACATCAAATCAATAATAGTAATAATAATATCAGTGGATTACCGTTTTATTGCATCAACATAACACTACACACTGAATATCAGAAAAATTAGGAAAGATAATAATACGAATTCATTAATTTATAGTCTGCACTGAAGGCCAGCCAGGGCAGAGTAGTGTCTGGCTGGGCTTGCTTCTTCTGTATTTAGAGCACTGGTTGTTTCACGCGAATTGCGATAGCCTCTGCTGTTTGGAGTATGCGGTACCTGGATGCTTTCGGCAATTTATTTGGTACCCGATAGATGATAGAGAAGGATTCTTCAGTGTTGGCTTTGTGGCCAGTTTGGACCAGGTGGTCTAATATCGAACTGTTGATGGTTTTTACTACACCTTTACTTAGCCACACTGGTAGATGTTCCCGAGTGAGCACGAAAAATCAAGTTCCTAGAGCAACGACCAATATAACTCGCAGTTGAATTGGTAGATACAATTAGAAGTGTCTAGTCCAGAATACTTCATCTTTCAGTTGGGGAATCACCATCGGTTGTGTAGCAAATGAGAGTTATAGTTTACCAGCATTAAAAGTTCTTTGATGAATAGATTTTCTTCCTTCTATGTATATATATATGTCAAGTAAGTTAAATAGGGAAACCCGATTAGTGTTCATTTGAAGGAACACATGTGCATGTCCTTTGTCTACACTAGTTTCACTTTTTTTTACCTAGATAATATTTTTGTTACTGTGTACATCATTTACAACGGTAGTATTGTTATTCTTCTTGTTCTGATAGATCATTTCTATGATTGACAGTTTGTATATATACATATAAATATACACGGTAATTTACGTGTATATTATTAAGCTACATTGATAAGAATGTGAATACAAAGGTTCTTTTGCCTGTATATATCCGTATCTACAGACTCATTATAAGCGTCATTCAATTATCGACACAAAACTGTCATTTTAACATACAAAGTAAATAAAAGTAATACGTATAAAGAACGAAAATACATTCTACTATTTGAATCTATCGTAAATATTGTATTAGAAACAGAAATATACTGAGAGGAAGAAATTGATGCACACCGTTTTTAATTAATCGTATGTGATGATTTATTGTACGTATTGTAGGTGACATACTTAAACATACACACACACATATAATGTGGAAACATACAGCAAGTATATTTGCTGTCTTCATCCTTGAAATAACATTCTCTACTAATTTAGACACCATTCGATTGAAACTTTCATTCTTTTTATCACTTAAAGGTAGGTATATTACGCGGGGTATGCGTGTCTTTGTAATAGTGAAATTAGCGAATATAATTGATTATATTTTGTTACTACTGGCAAATTTGTAAGTAGTTTGTTTATATTAAGCCAAATTAAATACATAAATTCGATATTTTATGGTTATTTTTCAACAGGTGATGTGTCTCGTCTGTCATAAGGTAATGACTCAAAGGAAAGTGGACACAATCAAACGACATACAGTCAGACGGCATTCAGAATTGATTGGCCTTTCTGAATTAGAAAGAGAACATTTATTCAACGAGTTGATGAAACAATATAGTATGCTGGAAGCTAATAATAATTATAATCCATCATCTGATGTACATACTAAGAGATCACGTAAATCGAATGAGATCCATTATTCTACAAGGGATATATGTAGCATACCGAGCACAGAACAATTTGAACGTCTGCCTAACACTTCTTGTTGTCTAGATAGTCAGTCTTCAGAAATGAACACAGTGAAAAGTTCGAGTGTATCTAGTGATAGTGGCATGAATGAAATATCTGCTTTCCGATCAACATCTTACAGAAAGAGTAAGAATTCATTTAACAAACCCTTTCAAAAGGTAAGCCCAACTTCCAAACCTACGACGAATCTTTCCAATTATGGAAGAGAAGACTTACTGAGAATTCCACATGACAGTAGTACTGTTGAAAATGTTAAAGTCTTACAATCAAACATATCAACAAACACATACAACACTCCAAACTTTATTGTCAACTCACCTACTTTTGAGAAGTCTCCCAGAGCAAGTAATTCTTGCTACTCATCAGATCATTCAATATTTGAGAATAAATCTTACAACACAACATTTACTTCAAAAATAGGACCATGTGTTCCTTCTTTTCCAACTTCACTAATTTCACCATTGTCACCAATTTCTATGGATCCTTCAAGTACAATGAATTCTTCGCTTTCCCCAGGTTTTTCCTGTATAAGTCCACATAATGATAACGAAAAACAATCCTTTGATTTAAAAAGTGCAATAAATTTCCAATCATTTGCATCAACACTATTGTCACCGTCATCTTCATCACTATTTTTACCCGAACTCTTATCAACATTCAGTAATATCAACAAATTATGTACTTCTTCTAGTTTGAATAAAGACAAGCATATGTACATGAGCGATAAGAGTGCTATTTATGGTTCCCCTGAAGGGAATATGAATTATTCACCAATTAAAACACATGAAAACACACAGTTTAAAAATATAGCTGCTAAGCAAATAATACTGAATAGTGATCACAATGTCAATTGTGGTAAAACCAGAGAATCATTGTTAACTCCAAGGACATTGATTACAAATCAAACCTTAGACAATAAGAATCATAATGTGAGTATGCTACAGCCTATTTCTTCAAATGGAGATAGCAGTTTTCAACACACATCACCATTGTCATCAGCATCTACATCAACATATTTACAAAACAGTTTTGTAAGTTGTCTTTGTCACACATGGTTTTAGACAGTTTTGTATATTTTCAAACATTGGTTTTGTAGGGATTTTGTTTGATTAGATGGGGGATTTCATCATGATTTGATATCAGTTAGAGAACCATTGGAAAACCAGCTAGGAGTATTCGACAGCTGTTTCGTCAGCCTAGTCTGAGACTCCTCCGCAGTACGCACCCACAGCAATGGTTCGAACCCAGGACCTTCTGGTTACAAGGCTGGCAAACTTGTAGACCATTGAGCCACTGGGACCAAATCCCAGATACTCCCAGGTTTTCCAGTGGTTCTCTAATGGATGTCAGCTCATGATGAAATCCTCCATCCAGTTCTGTATATGTCATATTTCATTTTCATTGCTAAACCATGTTATTCAAAACTATTTAGAATTTAAAACGTGGGAGATTGTGGCTTTATCGTTATTAAAACACAAATCTGGGCTATTAAGGAGAACAAGGAATGCACCATCCCAAACCTCATAGTTCGTGCCAGGTCTAGGACTCCCACACTGAGACAGGTGATTGTCTGAAGGGACCACATCCTGAACCTTTCACCTGAAGCCTGATGCACAAAGCACTAGATCAGCGTCAGGAGCTGCGTCCCCATGGTTGAGGGGGACCAAAGCAGATTCATATGTCATTCGATCCTTGTAGATTCTGGAGCCTGTGTACACCATCAGTTTGGAATCAGAGTTTCTTAAGCTCCCCTAGGTAAACCTGCTCGTCCAACAATCTGGTTGTAAGCGCCAGACTTTCATATTTGCCCTTTCGTTATTGTGAAGAATAGCCCTACCACGTGAAGGCTATGAACCCGTGGCCAAAGGAGAGCCTTTCAAGAGGAAGACCACCATCGATCGTATCAGGTCGTTGTTGCGGGTTACCGTTTATTTGTTTCTTCTCGTCAGGTAAATGGGAGAAAATTCTTCGAATTACAAAGGGCAAAATGATGATCAATTAGAAAAAAACTATCAGTTCATTTACATTATGGATTAGTAAATTTCACTTAATTATTTCCACCACTATATACCTAGAAGATGTTCTAATTTGTCACAACTTTGTATTGGTGTGCATGACACTTAAAGATGATCACATCAATGGTAAAATCAGCACTGAGTGGAATACAGGGCTTGAAGTTTAAGCTTTCAAATTTTACTAGCGATGGATTTTCTAGGGCATGAGGTTTCTAGCTTCACACCCGACCTTCCTTCCTTACCGGCTTACTATGTGCTAAGCGACGTTTAGAGGTGCGTCGGCGGGGAATCGAATCCATATACGCGTATATGTCAAAGTAGGACATATCTGGCGAATTGAATGCATGAAATTCAGTCATAACCATACTTCCATGTTTCCCTATATGATAATCAATAATTTGAAATAGTTCGTTGTTTAAAAGTGTTATTTGACGTAACTTAAACGACTGGGATTCACAGATTGATCAGCTAGATAACAAGATTTGTAATGAGTAGCAATTAATATCTCATTTTTAGTATATCAGAACTTTGCAGCCTGATAATTATTTGGTTAATTTCTTTTCCCTACATTCCTTTCGAAACAGAACTTCCTAACACCACCGCCACCACCGTTTCTGATGAATGCACTGACAAAAGCTTTGATGAATAATGTTCCAATGTCAAATCAGGAAATCGCTGACATACTATCACAGGGCTTTTGTAAAACCGCTTTAAATGCTTCATCAAATATAGAAAAGTCATGTGAATCTGATGAACCCCTAAGCCATGAGGTGTACAGAAACTATTCAACCAGTTCTAATCCATGCATTCAAGGAAATAGCTCCAGTTTACAGGAGAAAGAATCAGGCATTAGCCCATCAAGTTGTACTGATCCCAAGCGTCTTCATCGACCAACAGTTACTACTACATCAGTTTGTCCCAAAGATCCTATATGTCAAGCTAAATCAAGTAAAAATTTAAACAAATTTACCATTTCATCTTTATTGGATACAGAAAGTTCTCCAACGACAAGAAAAGTTACAAAAACAAAAACAGGAAGTAGTAGTCAGGTAGCCCATAGTAATTCAAAGAAACACAAAACCTCTCCTATCAGTGATTGTAATCACCCGCCTCCTCGACAAAATGGTTTACAGGAGAATTTCACATTTGCACAAACTCCCAAGTATCACCCATGTGTTCTTTGTAGTTTAGAAGGAAAGAATCCAGGTGTTTGTGAGGCGGCAGACACAATGTTTTCAGCAGACAACTTATGCCGAACAAGCGCCAACATATTTCATCAAGACTTGTACAATTTACATAACGAGAAACAACAGGTTTTCAATAATTGTTTGGAATTACCCAGCTCCTCTGTTAATGCAGGAACACTAGAACACAACAGGAGTCTTTACGGGACCTGTCATTCGAATAAAGATATATGTAATAGCATTTATAATCATAAAGATCAAGTGAAATTCGACGCTTTGTCGAATTTAAACAATTTCAAAAACCAGGATTTCAGTACATTTGAAGCTTGTATGAAATTTTACTATCTTGAGTTACTACGACACCATTATGATAATATTGCAAAGGCAAATCATTCCACACAATTTGGATTAATGTCAGAATGTGCGCCTATTGTTGAAAAAAGTAAGTCTTGCCCTTTAAATTGTCATAGCTGTTTTCTTTAAAATTAAATACTAATACACTTTCAGTTTCTAATAAGGGTAAGATAGACTGATAACATTCGAATTGAAATTTACAGAGATATTGAAGAAAGCATAGGTATTGTGACCACTTAATTTTGACAGTTTTAAAGGACTCTATACAGCTAGATTTCATCACGAAAGGACATCAGTTGTTGAACTACTGGAATTCAGACAGTACTAACCAGCTACTTCTTACTAGTTTGATACTCCTTAATAGAACCCATCCATGATCCTGCCGAGAATCATACCCAAAAGCTTCAGGTCTCAAGGTGATCACGTTACCATCCAACCACTGGAATGGATTTGCAATTGAATTGGAGATAGTGGAACATTAGAATAATTGAACACGTATTTTTCTGGACAAGTAGGAAAGACGGTTTCTTTGGTAACGGACTTAAGGCTTTGGTTTAGTTTCATAATAACATCATCTGTTCTTTTCTTTGTAACCGTATTGGAGTAGTTTTCGAATGATGTTCTTTCATCTTCATCTACGAAAACTTAAGATAGTATTCGTGACAGGGGTATTTGCAACAGATTTTATACATCTATCTTGTTGATGAGTGCCAAAAAACCTGTAACCTGGCTTCAGGGCATTTTAATAACTGACTGGTCTGTGTTCACTCATTCTGATGGTATCCATATACGTCATTCTTATTATATGCGAGTGCTTTTAGCAACCGAAACATACTTAAAGATCCATATAAAGTGTCGGTGGCTTACCGGTAGAATGCTCGGGATTTGATCCCCGGCCACAGACGCACTCCTTTACCTCGCTAAGCCGCTAATAAGGCCTGTAAAGAGGGAAGGTTGGACTTGAGGCATGCAACTCCACCCCGTATAAAAATAAATACCACTGCTACCGGAACTTCAAAGCTCCAGCTTGAAGTCCTATGTCCCACTGGGAACGTAAAGGAATAAAATAGTAATATATATATCATAAATACGCATGGGAACATACCTTAGGCCTAGATTTGATGTTTGATGAGACTCATCAGAAAGGCATATTTGCGATTTTAAGGAATTTCCACTTTGGCAGTAAATGAACCTGTGTAATCCTGTCTAGAATTTGCAGAATGATGACTGGTTCATTTCTAAGCGTACTCGCTGAAGTCTACTAATTAAATGTGTAATAACACCATTAAGGTAAGTACAACAAGACTGCTGTTCACTATAGTGTGATATAATACGATACCAAGTTACATAATATAGCTTCTAGCGCCAGCGTGGGTTCATTGGAGTCGTAACGGCTTATTGTTGAGGTTTGTGGTTTCTGATACTGATTGACACAAGTTATAATTATGGGATGGGGTGGGGAAACATACATCTTCTATTGCTGTTATTAGATGGTTGAAGGCAATCGGCAGGAAGCCTTCGACCTAGGTTGACACTCACCAGCAAAGCTTTCTGCCGATTGCCTCCAACCATCTAATAACAACGACCCACAGTGCACTCTGATGGCGAGACACCCAGCATGGTGGTCACATTGCAAGCTTGACTGATAGAATTCAGTCCACACCGAAGATAGGACTGGATACATTGCACTAGTTAATGACTAGTGTCCAATCAAAATATCCAATACAGTCCCACAGGAGGTCAGTCGCGAGCCCGAATAGCTCAGTGATAACGTCTGAGACTGACTGCAGCACTGGACGACGCGGATTTGAATCTAGAAAGCGATATGAGTTCCTTCGAGGTTGCGAATACGCCTTGTTGATACATTCTATACTTGGTTTGTAAGGATTAGTTTTGTTTATACGAGTTGATCACTGATTGATATCAGTTAGAGAACCATTTGAAACCAGCAGGGAGTACTGGACATCTGTTTCACAATAGTTTGGGAATCATCGGCAGTACACACCCGCTGGGGTTCTTACCTAGGACCTTTCACTTACAAGGCAAGCTCGTATAACATTCAGCCACTGGAACCCACCCAACTCAATGGCCCATGAATTCTAACTTCTACCAATTCGTGATTTAGTGTGACCACCAACCAATGTCATGGACGGGACAACCAATTGACTGGATGGACTTCATTGGTCACGAATTGAAATTTACATAGATACTGAAGAAAGCATAGGTATTGTGACCACTTAATCCTGACAGTTCTAAAGTACTCCATATAGCTAGATTTCATCACGAAAAGACATCACTTGTTGAACTACGAGCTTGCTTTGTAACCGGAAGGTCCTGAGTTTGCACCCTGGCGGTGGATGCGTACTAAACTAGGATGAAACAGCTGTCCAGTACTCCAGTGCTGGTTTTCAATGGTTCTCTAACTGATATCAATCCATGATCAACTCGTAAAAAACAAAACATAAACTTCCCAAAATTCACTGATAATTCCCAATGAGCACGAAAGCTAGATTTTGGAAGTTATAATACACTATAAAGAAGGAATTCTTGAATATACCTAGATTCACTATACTTTGCAAAAGATCAATATTTTATCTATCATACCCTTCTATGAATTATTTTTTATGAAATAATTATTTTCCACTATTTAACATGAATAACATTTTGTTTTACTTCTTCTGTCAAGATGGATCAACCGGTTTCACGGATCCCTCAGAGGATTACAATAAATTATCCAATAAAGATTGAAGTTCATGGAATAATGAAAAACTATCATTCAACATCACAAAAACACTGAATACTAACAGAAAGACAATCAGTTAGAAATGCAAGATAAATAACATCAAATTCAGGTAATATGGAGAACTTTTGGATATTTCATCAATATACATTTATTTGTCGTAAGTGAAAACAACGAGTCATCTTGAATTGATCTAAAACTAGAGATTACTTATAAGTAATATATACTTATGTACACAGTCACTTTGTCAAAAAGTTGCAATTGGTGAACGAACCCAAATTACTTTACAGTAATCAACTTGAAAAAGACGGAGAGGAATGTACAAACTTAAATGATGTATTTCAGCAGGTCATTTATTCGTTGAATAATAAATAATACAGTGATACAAAAGACGCGGGTTTTTTGTTTTTCCCTAAAGAATCTGTGATTTTGTCATATATTTCATTCAAAATAAATTACCAAAAGATTAGGGGATACGTTATTTTGAAAAACAAACAGATATCTTTCCGCATTGCATCATTTCCTTCTGATTACGTAATTTCTACTTTTATTTTTCCTTCAACTAGAATGACTTAGTTTACAAACGGTGTTTTTATCTATCTCTTTCTCTCTCTTTCATTGAAATGTTGTCATGTGTTGTATGATTCTTTATCTGTTGTACATTGTTAAGTGTATTCTATTCATTGTAATGTACTCTCATGATGCAAATATTATATTCTGTGATTAATAATGTGTATAGAATGACTATTGTGGTAATTTTTAATTTTTGTATATTTTAATTTTTATTCCTTTTTACCAGAGACTCTGTTACATAATTTATATACAGTGATGTTAATTTCACTAGTTAATGTATGTCATATATATGTATTTGTTGTATATTCATTAAAAGGTCGTTATTGAAGTATCAGATGTGGTGAAGTTCTCCTGTGGTTATTATTATTATTATTATTCTATTGGGTTCCAAGTGGAGTACATGGCTATAGCAGCACATCTCTACATTGTTCTGTTCTCTGCAGTCCTCTTCGGATGACTCCACGGTTGTCCATAGGCTCTCGTCTCCTCCTCAAACAGTCTCCTACATGTCACCGTAGGACTAACACTCAACTCATTGTTACCTACTTAGGTCCCAGTCGACCGATGGCCTCGCGTTCGATGTCACCTAACGATCTCAGCATGTGTCTGATCAATTTCCGTTTCCTTCAGAATATTTCTCTAGCAATAGGTTGTTGATTGGTTCATTTTCAGAGTTTCTTGTTGTTAATTCTTCCTGGTCATTTGATTATCAGTATGTGGCCATTGAAGGCAGCTGTTGAAAATGTTTTTCGTGACGCGATAAATCTCCAATCCATATTGAAGCAGTGACTGATTTAACATTGGTGTTTAAAAAATCTGAATCTTGTTCTTTATTGTGAGCTAAGCAGATTTCTACATTGATTTCAGAGTGATAAATTTCTGCCCTGCCTTTTCGATTCTGGTTTTGACATTGTCATCCGTGTTGTCTGCCTTTAGTTGAAACGATACTTCCTAGATAAGCGGAGGAATTGACCTAATTCAAATTTCACCCATTGATAGTGATTGGTGCTTGTTGTTGTTTCTGTTGGTTGGTTATCTTCCTCATCTCTGTCTTCTCTATGTTCACTTGAAGTACTGTCTTTGCCGCTTGGTTCTCCTACCAGATTGTTGGTGAATTTATACGACATTAGAAATAAATCCTCCGTTAATTCAAAATCTTCTAGAGTCCTCTTATCAATTCAGTGTATTGCTGTCTTCTCACTCCCTGTCCAGAGTCTGAAGTATAATCCATCCCGCCATAGTCAGGAATACCAATGTTGATAGTAGTCAGCCTTGTCCTATTCCTGTCTTCACTTCATAGTTTTCTGTTGTAGATCGCCTGATACGTGACACTGTCATAAAGCCAGCTGTTAAATGAGGTTGATAAATATTTAGGCACTGCACTTTATAGTGTTGAAGTAGTTTTCAAATTACTTCGTGGTTAACTCTGTCTGTCGAAGGCCTTTTCAAAGTCGATGAAGCTGAGGTAGAGATTTGACTGCTATTGTATGCTCTGCTAGATGATGATGCGCAGGGTTGCAATTCGATCTTCACACGACTTGCTTTTCCTGAATTCAGCTTGTTCTGGCTGGAGTTCTGTATCCAATGCGTCTTTTAAGGTCTCTAGGAGGATACGAATTAGTATTTTGCTTGAAGTGGATTACAGTATGATTCTGCACCAGTTCTTGCAGAGGTGTAAGTCGCCCTTCTTCGGTAGTTTGAAAAGATGGCCTTTCTTACAACTATTAGGTATCTTTCTTTCCTTGCAAACATTTCCAGTGGTAATTAACCCATCAGTAATGCGAATTCACCTTATATAAATAACTTCCCATAAAAATCTTTTTTGTTATTGGCTTGTCGGTACTCAGTCAAATAAGAATTATGGAAAATATTTTACATTTTCTAAAATCTCGGTTTGAAAGTAATTAATTGATTTTAAGACTGACTGTAAAGTAACTTCAGTTAGAGGACAACTGAATTCCAGGGATAACTGGATAGTCATTTCGTTCCAACCAGGGGCTCTTCAATAGTACACACCCATGACTCCCCCAGGGATCGAACCCTGGACCTTCAGGTCACAAGACCAGCTTCTGCACTATTCAGCTACTGAGATGGAATCCCGTTGCCCATCAACTCTAACGTTTGCCCACTCATGATATAGCGCAACTACCAACCAATGTCATTGGCGAGTATCTATCCTCAAATCCAACCTGATGGACCTAGCTGGTCACGACTTCCCAAAACGGCTTCAGGCAGCTCCGTCAAACTGAGTGTGTGAGGAGGAATACTTACCGATGACACTGACTAGCAGTCGCACCATAAATGGTAGAAGTTATAATTCATGAACCATTACATTCCATCCCAGTGGCTGAATGGTCAAGGAGCTCGCCCTGTAACCCAAAAGATCCTGAGCTCGAGCCCTGGTTGGTTAATAGGCGCATACCACTCGAGAGTCCCATATAAGGAGGAAACAGATGTTTAATACCACTTAGTTTTCAACAGTTCTCTAACTGAAATCAGTTCATGAACAATCTTGAAATATTCGATAGTTTGACAGCATGAAAATTGTCTTTGTCTTACTGAGAGAAGGGGTCAGTTTAGAAGAGACTGGCTTTTGCCAAGCTCTCAACAGTAAGAAATTATGAACATAAAATTATTCTTATATTAAGGAACGAAGTGAAATTCAATTTTTACATCAAGAATAAATGAATACTTTGGAAATTAGGAAAGTATTCATAAATAGTTGAGGGAGAATAAAAAGTTAAATGACAACCGTTTGAGATAAAATTACTCATTTTCTGATTTGATGTGCATATGTAGTTCAAGTCACTTATCCTGACAATACAAACACGACTTTATCCGAATGTGAAAGTCAACAACTTTCCCTACCGCTTATTAGATGAAGTTAATGCAACACATGTCAAATACAGACACATACCATTGAGTAGTAGTAATGTCATTAATCTGATTAAACCTTTTTGTATAAGTCTCTCTGAATGTTGAAAAACTTAAGGCTCCTTATTCAGATACACTCGATTAATCGATTTTTAGCGTACAGTCTTCAGAACTGAAAAAGTAAAATTGCCTTACAGACAATAAACTGTATGAAAACAGTAACATCTATTGAAAATATTATCTGCAAATATGATTTTACCATTATTTTAATTTGCCGTGGAGATTTTATACACTATTGGTATAAAAACTGATCATTGTTAGACTCATTTCCAGTTCCTATGAATGTTTCCTATTAGGAAGGACCTAAGACCAGTGGGTGGTCTCACACTAACCCTTCTGTGAAGCACCATCGAGATAACTAAGAGAAAAGGACAGCAGAAGACACCAATTAACTCACTGGTTAGTGAACAGAAAGACATTATTACTCAATTTTTATCCGAAAGTCTTGGCATCTGACAGTTTGAGGACATAAATACGGGGCATTGGATTACTGATTTAGACTGATTTTCCGAAGGTTCAAAAAATGAAGTGCCATATCCACCATAACGGGTTTTTTTCGGGTAATCCACTCAAAGATTTTCAATAAGTTGGAAAGTCGAAATAGAAGAATGAGATATTCAGGATTACCAACCACAAACAAACATTCATTAGAACTATGACAAGCATATCATTGTAGGTGTTCAGTGAATAGCGTTTTGTTTCAAAATACTACATTCATTTTTACAACATAGTGTTGCTTGTATTCACCCCCGCCTCACCCCTACTAGTGACCTCTAAACCCTGTTGACTGTTGGCTGTTTTAGTTCATCATGTGAAGGTCAGTTAAGTCAAAGTCATTTGGGCCTATATGTTTGGAACTGTTGTCAAGTTTTTCTCTGTTCATCTGAGACAGTGAAAACTCTCTAATCAACGGCCTGTCTCCTTTCTCTCTTCTTTGCCTCACGTGCCAGTGGTATTGTGTTGTGGTGGTTGTCTTTGCGAATAGTGATTAGGACAGTAGGCTGTCAAATCTACTAGTCAGGAAGTTTTTTAGCGCAAGCAACGCATAAACTACTAGGTTGTATTCGTGGGCGTATCAGGTTGAGGTTGGTATATACTACTATTATACAGTGTTTCCGTACTTAGCCTTATTTCGCAGTGGGAGATACTTCTGATTGCTCCTAATAGGATGGCAAACACTACCTGTCTCACAGTATTCAAGAAGTAGCAGTCCCGTATAGCAGTAACAATAGCAGTAGAGAAAGCAGGGAAATGAAAGCATAGGACTCAGAAAGTTATTGCTATATATCCTGTCAAGCATACAATACAAATGAACTACTTTGAATTCAGTAGGAATGTGTTAATGGTATATATAGCATCGGCGTAGATAGACAGTGCTCCAGTATATCGTAAATGAGCAATAAGTTTGTCAGAAGCATTTAACGATAATAATCTACTTTATTCCAAAAACAATACTTATAATACATGTTTTACGAGTTGATCACGGACTGATATCAGTTAG